TAATGTCACTGCCATTTGAGCTTGAAAGGTTTCAAGAAGACTTCTAAATACAGACTGCATGTTCAGTATTCCACGTTGATGAGCTGTACTTCCTTAATAGGCCACCTAATTGTTGTAATAACCCTTGTGAAGAATGCACTACGCTATTCATTCTTGTCCGATCAATGCCTGAGATATGACATGTTACGGCCTGTAACCTCATCTCATGAAACTGTTCTCAAATCCCTTGTCTCCAAACAATATCAGTTTCTTTATCTGTCAACTGGCACCTCCAGTATTTAAATAAAATCAAGTATCCTTCTATTGTAACGTAAACTAGTCTACAGAATTTCATAAAAGCATTTCGATTCCCTTTCTAAAGTTTTTCATGGTTTATTAAAAGCCGACTACTACCATTTCTCTTTCTTCCTCTATTCGTCTTTATCTGCTGGACCTATATTCTGCGGTATCTTCTTTGTCGAATGTTACTAAATTATTCTCGTTTAGCTGAGTGAAATTCATTTTGTCTAAATTATTTAATGTAATTAATGTGATATTGGCGTGAACCTTTGTTACTCTTGTCAGGTTGATTTTTCCTTTGTTTTTTGGCTTGCTGGCTATGTTGAAATGTTTGCGTTTGTTCTTCTCTTCTAAATCGTTATCTAACTCAGTTGAGTGTGCAGTTTACTCACTCAGCATTCAGTGCATTCCAGTCAGTCTAATTAGTCTTCTAGTAAGCCAAAATGTGAAAGCGTGTCACCAATTCACATAATAACCATCTGGAATACATTTCACATAAGAAAGAGTGTTGAAAAATGAGAAGACATTCTTGTCGTTTATTATATTATCTCAATGAACTCTTTCCTAATAATTTATTGACAAAGTGTTCAATCACATCCATGGGTGGTCTTTTTTGATGGATAAATCGAACAGGTTCATTGAATCAAACCTGTGTGTAAATGAGCATTTGAAATAGCCTGTGGGGAAATGGAAAACAGCTTGCACCTGTGACATTCTCTCCTTTTCATTTCGCTCTGCTTCAGTATAAAAGTTTTCAATTTGTGGTTGCATTAGCTTGCAACCTTAAACTCATGCTCCTATATAACGACTATGTGAACTGATAGATCGACAGAAATATGGCTATTTCGCTGAAACCTTAAGGATTCTGCAATCATGAATTTGGAATTAAATGCTTATCGCGCTGCAGAAATGCTCAAAAGCCGTCTCACTGAATAGTTTAGTCGAACGATCTTAGCAACCATTTTAAAAAATTGTTCACCAGAATCAAGTTGTAATCCGACTATATAAAACATAAGCCCCCTTTCTGGCAGCCTCCATATGAATCCATCAGTATTTCTGATATTGTGGAGCAAAGCATATCGGTCGTAGCCATAGAACTCTTTCCATACGGATTCGAGAACGTTTTGGATCATGGTTTCACCATGGAAAAAGGAAGGCTGCACGAGGCTTTATTCCACTGCCACTCTACTAATATTGACCATTATTTGGTGATCCTCTATAGAATCTGCTAACTTGCAGCGTTGTCTTTCTTATAAAGTTCTAAAAACAACAGGGACATTCTCTACTAATGAATTTAAAGTATAACTTTGTGGAAAAAAAGAAACTTGTGCAGTCCCTACTTCTGAGATGTTCGTAGAGGAATAGATATTTATATATCTTTTCTCTTCATTAAGTTAATATATGTATATATTTCTCACTACTGGTGACGAATATATAGCTTTCGTATTCAGGACTCAGTCTGTCAGTGAATCAGTTCCACTGAATAATTGCTTATCCCCCTAGCACTTCTTCCTTCCTTCATCCGATCATTTGTTCGCTGATCAGTTGGTAGGATCATAAGCGTGTTAGTTGTTCGTTCACTTAGTCAGTTAGTTGGTTTGTTACTCCTTAATAAATAGGTTTATTTTAATAATCACACAGTTGTGCAGTATTACCAACCGGATTTGTGCTGTTAATACGACATCGCTGTGTGAATAACAAGATAAAATTATCTTATGTGAAATTGCATTATGCTACAATGCCCAAGTTCTACACTTAAATTGGTAAGTTAGCTAGTCAGTTAGTTAGTGAGTTAATTAGTTGTTCATTTGGTCAGATATTTATTTGGTTATTTAGTTAGTCAGATATTCAGTCACTGGTGAATAAAGAGGAAATATGAGGATAATTAATACTCAAATAGATGAAGAATTCTCATGACTTAAGTAATTCTGATTGCATTAGAATTGATAGGCAGTTATTATCTAATGGCCGTCTTTAACTTGTGTTTTCAGATGATGTTGAATTCGAAGCATGACTATAAGGCTATTTCACTTAAACGAGATTCTGACCCATTGATTTAACAGTTTCTTTGATCCCTTTTAGAATCCAGGCAGAGACAGAAATATTCTACTGGTCATCCAAATTAAAATTGCCATTTTCTGAATAAGTTTCTATTCGCTTCTTAAATTTTGATTACAGTTTTGGATATTGATGGTTTAAAGCTAAGTGCTTCATGGTTCTTTTCTGACTGTAGCAAGTTAGTTACACATGGAAATACTCATCATTCTTTCAATGAAGCACGACTTTAATCGTAGTCTATGGATTGATTTCCCGTCAAAACTTTCACATCTATCACTGTCAGTCTCCACAGTTCAGACATGCACTTCTTCAATACAACGCCCAAAGTCATGGATTAATCTCCGGCTTGATCCAAAGAAGGAATATAGAAGCTACTGAGAACAGAGGGACAATACACAAAATAATGTTGGACAAATGTTTAATTCCTATAGCTAATCCGCTGATATTATGGAGGCACTTCCCTCATAAAAGTTCGAATTTTCTTAAAACCACCTCACTACAGTCAGAAATATCTATCAAGAAAAAGTATTTCTTATACATTAAATAGTCTTATGAAATTTTCTTTTCTGATACCAAAGTGACTTAACCAACGATTAATGTAAGAGTAGGATTTAGGCAGGGAACTAAACATATCTGTGTTAATTATCGGTGCAGTATTCTAAAGATGGTAATACGTACTCCACGATGTCATTCCTGTTGTGTCTAGCAATGCCACATAGCTTATTTATCCAGTTGATTTCCTAACTACATTTTATCTACTACGCAATTTATTTTTATGAAAATACTTTGGAAAAAACAGAGATAAGTTCAGATTTTAACAAAGTGAGTGTGTCATCCACACATCTCTATTATCGTAATATAAGAAAAAGAAAAGTCGTTCTGATAGCCTTAATTTCCCTGCCATCCATAACTGTATCCGCTAGTAATTCGAACTTTTGGATTCGACTGCCACCTCATCTGTTCGTTTGCACGGTTTATTTTGAAACTTCTGTACACTGGCGACCGAACACAACTGAATATCCAATCTATTAATAATCGCGAAAATTTCGGTATCTTTACAGTGCGCTCACCTGCATGAAACTTAACGACAGAGTGGAAAAGACTCAAAACAAAACGCAATACAGTCAGTTTAATTGAGCGACTGATCAACAAATCTTTGCGAATAAAATCAACGAACACTTAACACCTGCAATCTAAATGATTGAAACAGAAATCAGGAAGGAGTGAGATTGTGTGAATTACGTCTCGAGAATATTTGAAATGTTCAACTAACTAAATTTTGCTTTCAAGTTGAACTCAACCGGACACTCATCAAAAACGAACAGAACGCTTGAATATAATGCAATTCCTTTTGAAATTCCACTCACTAAGACTGACGTCTATCACTTAATCTCCTGACATTTGTCTTCGCAACAACTGAACAACACCTATCGCACAGTAATATATATATATATCGTATTCAGAATCGCTTCAGTGCTTCTCAAATTACAAAGTAACAACGAAGTGATTAAGAAGTCATGTTTTTTCTTTATTTATAACAGAAAACTGCTTATCAAGTTAACAGTAATGAGTAACGTTCATGCATAAATTTCACTGAAATCAGTGAACTTTGTGATCACCTACCTATAGAGAAATGGAATAAAATAATCAGTATGCCACTTAACAAGAAATTTAAAATAGACTGTTTTCTGATTATTGAATTGGTTGCAGAACGAATGACAACATACATCAGAGTGATCAAGCTAGTCCCATGTTCTCATTTTCTCTGACAAATATAGAGGAATCTGTCTCTCACACACTGTGATACTATTTGCAAAGGTCCCTTCTCGAGGATATCCAATCACGTTACAATCGATAGACGATGCTTCAGCTGATTAGTTGAATATCTGAATCATTCAACATCATCGTAGAGGAATTTTTCCCCCTCTCTGTCTCATCATCTGTATTATATCACTCTTCACAATTAATATTCAGCACTCCTATTTCAGATTAATCGATAATAAGTGAAACTCAACCGATGCTCAAATGATAAAATGGAAATACTTGAAATATCAAATTTTCCTCACCAGTCATCATTTTTCACACATAAGCTGCCACTGCAACACAACGAATGAATCAATGAATGAATTAATTTTATTAGGAGAAAGTCGCTTATTAAGAAGGAGATTATCTGAATACATCTAATTAGGAGTGATTTTTGCGAGAATTTTCGAAGTGCATAATTATGTTCAAGCTGGATTGTTAGTGTGAAGGAACAATTTATAACTATTGAAACCGACTAATTACTGAGAAGACTTCACGAATTTTTTTTCTTGTGTGCGGTTGACAATGTTGATCTCAGCAAATTTAGCGTCAGGCTGATTACGACGAAAGCAGAGATTTCATCAATGCACACTGCCACCTTAAACACAGAGAATTTAGTAGGACTTGTTGGCAATTCATTGGTTAAATGCTCCTTGACCCAGTAAGTGGTCAGGATTCTATTCCCGGTCTGTCCAATGCTTCGCCACGCCTAGCCTGTAGTTATCTGGGAAGCGGATTATGTTGAAGTATGGGCTCGGAAACCTCATCCCGTGAAAACAAAACAGTTACTCCTGCAACTACAAAGTTCAAGCTTGTAACTCTGTGTTTCACTCGACACAGAGAAGAATAAATACACACTCATATATATATATATATATATATATTATTGGTTGCAATATGGTTAAAGTGACTTTTGTTTATGAGGATACTCAGAGCTATCACAGCCTTGTTGGAGGACATTTGCGATTATTGAAAATGTTCTCGGTTGTCTTTTAACAGTGGACAACACTGTGAAGCCCCGCTAAGTATTAACAAATATTGGAATAAGACACTTTATAAACACTAAAAAGAGACAGAAAATTGCTAAGGGTAAAGCAGGTAAAACACTTTTTTTTGCGGCTACTAATTGATTTTCATCCACATCCAATGACCACTAACACCATAACTCTGGTTTACTCACATAAGTGGATAAACATGAACATGTAAATAGTCATAAGGATAAGGACAGTTGTAAATGTGCATAGAAGTTGCAAACTGTGCAGAAAATCACTCACTTTATTTATGCAAAGAACTTGGAGAGAAGAAAATTGATAGATTTTATGCAAATCATTTACCTGGATTCTTTCGCGGGATTTCTGTCCCGTTATCATCTGAAAGCAAATTCATACAAAATGTAAGTTGATAGTTGTAGAAATTCTTGACAACTGTGAAGATATTTGACGTGTCAGGAAGGTGCTATTTTATATTCTGTGTGATTTGTTGATTATCCCATTCAAACCTTAATCAAATGCACTATGGTGTTACTGAGATACACGATATGACATTCGACATATTTTCTGTTCTATGACATCTTGTTAAGTTGGCTCAGTTATTACCGACCATCTCTAACTTCCTCTTCACATAATATCTCTTATGTCACTCTCGTAGGCCCGGTACATCGTGCCATGCCTTCATCTGAGTTTCATTTTAGTGCCCGCCTCGCGTGTGTTGTCACTCAACAGTCTTCTGAAAAAATAAATCTCAAGTTATCTCCATTCTCTTCTGCTCCACACAATTTTACTGTAAAGTTAACTCAGAGGTGTGAGTGAAGTCACACTTCTGTCATTTGTATATGTGAGAAGCTATTTACATGTCCTTCCTCAATCTGTTTGCTTACAAACAATTTGGGAAGTGAGATATTTATTTAACTACAAGTGAAGCCATTTACCTAAGTGCAGTGGTGCTTAATTTAATACATCAATTAAGTCAGAAATGCATACGACAAAGTTACTGGGTTTCAGTAATGGAGATTTATGTGAAAGATTGCTTCAAAATTGCTTCAAACAAAAAAAGCTGTAATGTAATCCGGTGAAAAAAACTCACTTGTTAGGAAGACACCATTCATGACTGATAACACTGAAAATTAAGGAATTCATTGACAGAAACAGTTATACAGCATGATATAAAGTGTTTATCTTTGAAATATATGCAAACGATACGCATTTACTTCGAAATTATTTCAAAAGTGACCAGCAGACATACTACACCAGTTGGCGTAAACAACCACTATGTGAAACCACTTACCTGGATCAAACCAAACTCTCCAGTAATGTGAATCTGTATATCAAAACAAAAGATGTTGGTTAGATTTGCAATAGTTGACAGATTGCAAAGTGAAACACCTTTCTAGTGGCACATGTCAACTCAATAAAGAAATACAATTCTGTAGTCCGGATTCTGCTCATCTCACAGGATGTTAATATTTTTTGTGTGTTAAGGGTTGGATTGGATAATCTTCGTGAAGTGACAAGTTATCATCATCATCATCTGCGTGAAAATTCTACCATTGCATGTTCAATTCACATTGAAGAGATACCACACAATTTGCTGAGTAATCACAACGTGACTACAACTTTCACCTTTTGTGATAAATTCAAGTAAACAATGATGTCTGACTAAAGGAAACAATCATCGCCATTTGGACATCCTATTCGTGAGATTCTTCTTACCAGTAAACATATCCGAAATGTTAACAACTGCAGTAGATTTATATGAATACGCCTATCGTTTCACATGTCTAGTGTCATTTATTCAGCCAATCAGTCGTTTCTAAAACTCTCTACCATATTATTATGAAGACAAATATCCTTCAACTTACACGAATCGTCGTGCGTCGTGACGATAACCAAATTTCCTTAAATGTTTCGAAAGAAAATACGAAGAATGATTGACGATTTTTACAGAGCGAAAATATATGTAGCAGATGCTTATACCATTTGCAGATTGGTGACGTTTACAAGTGAAGTGACCAGTAATTAATTTATGCAATGCTGCACTACAAATTGAATAGAGTAAATAAAATCTGGTTGTACTCTGGTGTCTTAATGTCTGAAAGTAAGGTTCTTTGATTCATACTTCACCAGAGGTGAGATTAATTGGAAAGGGTGTCCTAAGTATGCTCTACTCAGAGCTTCGAACCTGCTCCTTTTGCTTCAATCACAACTTCATTTCAGATGATTATGGAAATGACTGCGATGCCAAGAAAATTAATGGTTCAAATTTGCTGTTGTTCCTGGATAAATGTGAAACAGAATGAGACCTCATTTCATAAGATTTTCAACGGTGTATTTGATTTAGGCTGCAAGAATATAACAGTTTTATGAATTTCACTTACCACGGAAGTCATCCGGTGCTTCTGTCGTTTCATAAACTGTAAGACATAAAATTGTATGAAACTGATTGTGTGAACACACGCACACCCATTATATCCATTCAAGTTCATAACAGATAAAAATGAATGTGTGTTTCACGCGCATTTAGATACAATTCGGTAGTTGATACAGTTAGAGAAATACAACCAAGGATGCATTTAACTTGCCTTATAAGAGTGTATTTATAATAATACTTGGGTGTTAGAAGAATAACTTACTGTTCGTGTTTCCTTGCCTTTCCCCTGTTTGACGTACTGTGAACATAAAATAAATACAAATTACGTTAAGGAGACCACAAGCGACACAATCTCAATGTAAACCCCGGTGAACATGTGTTGGGAGGAAGTTAACAGTGACTTATTATGAGGTTTAAAATTTGTTTATTCATGTGTAATTACTGCACCCCATTCTTAATTTTTGGGTCCCATGAATACACACTTTACTTGGGAAACCTCACTATCCTTTTCCTCTCACAGATAACACATACGTAGACACCACTTGATTTAGGTTCAATGACAAGGTGAAAATGTTTAGTGTTCATCGCCTCAGTATGGTTCGAAAACAAAATGTTAAGAGACATTTGAATTTTCGACACCGAATATTGTTTGCTGGAAGAAGATTTTACATCCGTTTCCACCGTTTTTGGATTTTTCTCTACAGGAATAAAATCGCATTGAACAACTGACAAAGACGACATATTGCATGTATACTCAACATAACACTTCACTTCCGACTGTGAATCGAAAGCACACTTCAAACAACAACGCATTTCACACATTTGACAAACGCTCGGGACAAGAAATGAAAGTATCAAGTTCACAATAACTCACCGACACTTCCAGAGACAACCAACGTTACGATCCAGATCAGGCAGACAATCTTCATCTTGCTGAGTGACTTCCTTCTTAACCATCCCGTCTTTTATAACATAACCTGTCAGTCTCCAGCCAATCAGAAACATTGTGGGTGGTGAGTGAAGACAATTTGTAGGCCATTATTTTCACAGACAATTGGACAGAGATGATTGCTCATATTGTGATAGGTAGGTTACAAACACAGTTTTCGTTTGATGTTGGTGAAGGACATTGGTAGTAAGAGCAATGGCAGTCACTGTGAAGCTAAACTGTGGTGAAGTGGTAACTTGTACAGAAATATTCTTAATGTATTTTCCTTATCAACAACCGCCTTTCTCGTACTACTGCAAGTCAGCAGTGGAATAAATGTTGTACGATGCGAGTTTCCATAACTAAGTGTTCTTCACAAAACAGAAGGCATTTTATTCACTTTTTCGCATTTACGATATTTTTGATCCTTGTGATGATTTATCTTATTTCATATTTATGTTATTTTATTCATGGTTGTTGAGCCCAGCATCAGTTCATTCGACAATGTTGTTTTGTTTTTGATACAGTGATTGCTTGCAGGGGTGTAAGGGTGATAGCACACGAAACACCAAACACTATCATTATTTGATGATTGGATATGTCTTCTCCATAAGGACAAATTTCAGTGGGTATGATTAACATTTAGTCGATAGATTAACCACATGCATATCAAACTGTGAAAGTAGCTACATGTAGGCTAATTTCAAATAGGCACGGAGATTCTATTACTTGTCGTCTGCATACAACTATCTGTTATAAATCTAAACAAATATCTATCTGATGGTTTGAACTATGTCTCAGAAATGTTGGCTCATCATTGTCGAATTCTTCGTCATCTGTTTTCTGAAGTTGTTTTAGCAACATTTAGGAAAGCTCTCTCATTTCGTATAGTTGCATGAAGCAATGATATTAGCATGTCTGAGGTTGATTTTTCTTAACCTTGGTATTATGTGTAGTTAAAGCCGATCACCTGGTCCACTAGAAGTATGAACGGTCATGGAGTAACACTTCCAATTATGCAGTCGACATAATTTTGAGGTGTGACAATGATAGCCATTTTAAATATTTCTGTACTCGTCAGTGAATATTCTTCGTCTGTGTTGAGACTGACTGATCTTTTTCATCGGGTTTCGAAGTATCCATGCGAACCACCTACTTAAACGAGCCTTTGAAAAAGAATGGAATCTGACTCTGATCACAGCGTATATGAAGCATGTAAACTCATTTTGTAAGCCTCAGGCTGTGGTAATATCATTACATTTTGGACGGGTTGGACATGTGCGAATTTCAGGACTTCTGTTGTCAAGTCATTCAAATAAGATGGAAAAGTGCCAAGAGCCCATAGTGACTACTTCCATGCTTAAGTGTTACCTAAAGCAGTTGAGTTGTACTGTGCAAGAGGCTCAAAACTTTTTTATGAACGACGTGGTTCAAAATATACCCTTTCAAATTGAATCTACATTCAGGTGGATTCTATGTTATGCTGATAGTTGGGTATCTTAAGTTGAAGCACCTTCACCAATGAAAATTTCGTACCTGACATCATGGTTTGCTAGACCGCAATCGTTCTCTAGATCGTTTATTAATTTCATTCATTTCTTATCTACTTTTGGTGACAGTGTTTCCAGTTGACGATTTGTGTGGAAATAATAGTGTGACAATATCCCAGGGGTGACTGTGACGTTTCTACATAGTGAAGCTTTCTCGATGTTTCTTCAAATTAATACAAGTTCATGATATATAAACTTGATTCGAGAATGTGGCTGTGATTCAAAGATGGATTTCAGAAATCCATGCACAAGACTGCACTGCTGAACACAAGCGTAACGGGGAGATATCCTATTCATTAGAGAGCTACTCATCGTTTGTGAGCTCCGCCACTGATAGTGATTGTCCGCTAGTTCGACACTTGCTTGCTTTAAGAGTTCTGCCTCTAGAATACACTCAGAATAGACGATGGCCTAATGATGCCAGTGAAATGGTTGGACTATTCACTGTTAGCTGATAGTTCCTGATTTCTCTAGCTGAAGACAAGCGATTTTCATAATTCTTAAACATTCAATATCTGAATCATAGAATTATTACTCCACCGATTATAAGGTCTCTTATAGATAGTTTTCATTCTGTTCACTATTCTGTACACTAGTACGTCTAATTTCGTGGGGCAGTGTTGTTGTTAGGTAACAGGAGAAGATCAAAGAGTATGTTATGAAATGTGACTGTAAATTTGACCGGCTGCCTCTTGTCAAACATAGTGGTGCATATATTCATGCTGACTGGTCGCATTATGCACCAGCTATTGCGAATTTTTTTCCATATCTATCGACAGTATCAGTGGAAAACTTAGTCTAAAAGCCGTGGAAACGATTTCCAGTGGAGAAGGAATTCCTAGTGATTGCATGAGTTACCAATCATACTAACCACTTCACTGATAAAAATGAAAACGATTGACTGTGAAATACTGCCTGATGTTATCCCCGCGCAGATTTATGTCGTCTTCAGTCACTGAATGAGTAGGATAGGCCATAGAACTACAAGCCAGGAGAAACTGTCTCATATCGCAAGGCAGAGCACTCAAATACTCATGAAAGTTTTGTCTTAAAAGTCTTGAAATTTAAAATTCTTCAAAAACCTCTAGTAATTACGACTTGATGTGATCTGCATTGCCGTAGCGGAAGTGATCTCCTAACATTCATAGTGATTCTGCTGTAGAATGTCGAATCCCCTGTTTCCATTTTTGGACCAAGAATATCATTCGGTTCCCACGGAACACCTTACTTAGCTTAGAAATAATCAGTTATCTGACATGAATGGTATTTGCAATAATCTCGATTATTATTTTCATTCTGTAGACTAAATCAAAATACATGCGGATTGATGTAAATGAAAATAGCAATACTGAACCAATTCGAAGATCTGACAGTATGGTAAATCAACCAGACGAAATTTGAAGTACAGTGAATGTGGTGAGCAACTGTCTGCATTGATTGACTATGTAAATATCCGCTATCATCATCTGCCGCTTACTCGCTCTTATCATGAAAATTCTGTGAGATACAAATTTCTTACTTCTGTCCTCCGTGTACTTTATTCTGTTTAGCTGTTAGCCGGTTACTGCCAATTAATTCATCATACAGACCTGGTAAAATATGTGAATCTTGTATGTAGCAGAGTGATATGATCAAACTATGTGACTCTTCTGATAGCTAAGATACTCAACAAAGTCACGTTTACACTTGGTAACCGTTTCTGAAGTAACGTATCGCCAAATTCATGCAACCCATATTCCCTTCGTATTTCGTCAGTGTGTGCTCAGTGCATTGCCGATTTAGTACTGTTTGAAACTGGTTCTACTCAGGGAACGCGCAAAGTTTTTCGTCGAGTTAGGTAAATAACTCATTATCCAAGGAAGTGGGAATAACTAAAGTTCCCATCTTTACTATTATCTCAGAAGTATCAGCATTATAATTCTGTGCAAACGTTTTCCCTAGGAGAATAACAGATCACAGTTTTTCTTAACTAAGTTCATAAACTTTCGTTTGAAGTTAAACAATACGAAACAAGTTGCATTGCGTGATTTCACGCATTCACATTCTTTTCAGAGTTTTGGCATGTATACCTGTGTGCTGCCTAACAAATTAATGCCACACAAACACATTCCTGTTTATTCTTTTGTTATCTTTCTCAAGAAAGTTCAAGACGAACTAGGTCAGTCAGTTCACTTTTCTTTTACACAACAATACAATGCTGCTCATAATATACTCACTAATTTATGATTACTTCCCTGTTGTGGGAAAAACCACTCACGAATTTATCACAGCCAACGCATAAAGTTGTTTACGCCAAGAGGAAAGCTATTTAGTATCCTTTATACTGCTTGAATCAGTATCTGTTATACTGTAGCTACCAAAATCTTCCATATTCATCATAACCAGTTTAGTTGAATGTTGTCGGAGTATATTTTCTGTCTTCGGGTACTGAAAATTTCTCAAATTAAATAATTAATCAGACATCAGGCGAACTGGCTTTCTTTGCAATCCTCTATTGATAATCTGTGGAGCACGAATGGGAATCGACGAGTTGGTTGATGATGAAATGGGGGGGACTGAGGGATGAGAGACTTTTGGATAGAATGGAGAGCGATATCATTCTACGGTCTCTTCAGTGACGTTTGTTACACCCATCTCGATATTGTTCGACTCAGAAATAGGTTCTCGGTTGCATTATTCCCCAGATTTTCTCCTCTACACCAGCGGAGTTCAGACGGTTTCGAAACTGATTTCGGAGTGATGAAGGACTCTGTTGCCTTTCAAATCTTGCCTCGTTTTGACATTGCTGCGCGTAGTTCAAACCATGTTGCATGGCCATATAGGTGAAAGAATTAACTTCTTCCTGATTTCTTTGATTAAGAGTGGTTGGTGTTTGGCACATAGTGTCATTGTTGTTGCTTTTGGTATTGGTGGTGGTAGGGATTCATTATCTCGACCACCATCTTATCTATGTTCACTTGAATTCGTACCTCCGATGTGCTGCTTCCTCTTCTTCTTTGGTCACCGACTGTAAGTCAACGCGTTTGTACAAAATTAGACACCAGTCATCCGTGAAATCCAGATATACTACAGTCTTCTATTTGTCCCAACATATTGCTGTTTTATCGGTCCTCAGAGTTTCGAGCATAATCCAGTCCATGTTATATATATATATATATATTCCTCGGTATTATGTTAATCCATTCACTGGTGGAATAGTGCTAGCCGCGTTAAAAGCAGTCCATTTACCAATTTACCTGCGTCAGTCTAAGCAGTCAACAAGTTGTATGGCTAAAGCGTAGGTATAGTAGTAGTAGTGATCACACAAAACAATCACAGCTGTTGTTTCTGGTTAAATCTGACAAAGAAATAACCTAGAAGTCGTTCAGCTAACGTGTCTGACTAACCTCCTAGAGAAGCAACGTTGGAACGTGAGGCGCTGCAGGTGAGGATATCAAAGCCAGAATCAGAAT